TGCCGCCCGTGTTCCCACCCGCCGCGGTGAGAGGCGGCTGCGCCCACAGGTGGGGGCCCTGGGGCGCTGAGCCAGCAGTTGCCATTCCCAACAGAAAGGTTGTTTGTATGGGTTTGAATTATTTGAGGTTCCTTTTCTTTCTTTCTTCCGCTCCTCCTCCCCTTGGATACTGTCTCTTCTGCTTTGGAGGTGGAAGTCTTTAAAATGAAAGCGTACGATGCTGCCTCCTCCCGGGGTCTCCAGCCGGGGAGGGCCGAGAGCTGTCACTGAGAACATGAACGTGACGCTGACCCCGTCACCCTCCCCTTCCCCATCTCAACTCCCGTTTACTTTTCTTTGTAACCTCACCCTTCTGATACTCAACACTGAAAGGGGTTTTTATAATTTTAAATTATTACTGCTGTTAAATAAACGGACGTTTCAGCTCAACGAGACTTTATGCATGATTTGAGGAAATCCACAGGGTAAGCTCCCTGGAGCCAGCTGTGCCAAGCCATCCTGTGGCACCTGGGCAGGCCGGGCTCCCTCGAGCCCTTCCCTGGGCCGGGCACAGGCACTGTGAGCCCTGGGCTCCGACGTGAGCAGTGCCCAGCAGTGTGCCGCCAGCCTGCGGGTGGCTGGGCCGTGGGCTGAAGCTGAAAGCACCTTGGCTGCTCTTTGGTGTTTTTTTTACCCCCTGTCCCTGTTGGGGGCCTGCCCTTCTCCCAGCCTGAGTGGACTGTTCCACCTTGTTGACATCAAGACTGGGCGTGTGTCAGAGCAAGGACCAGCCAGATACCGCTTGTGATTGAATAACATACAGGAAAAACGTTTTGGAGAAAAATGTATTTCAAAGCTACTTAAAATACAACCGATTAAAAAGGAGAGAGACAAATATCCAGGTGTGTGGGTGACTCAGTTTCTGTGACAGAGCTGGAGCTGGAGAATGACAGGAATGTGACTGGTGTGGGCAGTGCCCTCCCTGCTGCTGTGTCCCAGCTCAGCCGGGCGGGGAGGCGTGACAGGGACAAAGCCCAGGACGCTGGTTTGCTGTGCCCCTGCGGAACCTTCTGAACCTCCCACACAGCCCGGCCAGCTCTGAGAGAAGCTGGGGCGGGAGCATGGGACTGGTGTCAGCGATGGCTGGGAGGGTTCCCTGGTTTGGGAGGGTCTCTGCATTGCCTCCTGCTGCTGGGGGAGGTGCCGCCTCCTTGGGTACTCGGGGTGCTGGTAGCAGCAGAGCTTTGGTGTCTCTCAAAGCAGCCTTACCCCTGGCCCTGCCTCCTGAGAGCTCTCCCTCTCCGGGATGGGGTGTGCCTCCCGTGGGAGGGGGAAGGCGGGTGCACTGTTTGGCATTTCTTGAGCCATTTGGAGAGGGAAGAGGTTTGTTGGAGAAAACACTCCTGGTGTGGATGGCAACGGCCTTTGCCAGGACTGCCAGAGCCACGCGGCCAGCCCTGAGCAACTGCCCTGGAATGTTTTTCTTCCTCTGCTTTGCCAGGGCAGCCGGCGGCACCTTTCATCAGGGCGGGCGGATGCCTGCGGGACGAGGGTTTAACAGGACTGGTGTAACAGGGTTAATGGCTCATCCTCTGCCGCCGGTTGGGCCAGAAGCTTCTGCCACAGGGAGCCTGGGCTTGGGAGTCGGGTGCCAGCAGGCAGGTCCCCAGCTGAGCCCGTACGTGCCATTGGCTGAGCTGGTGTGGGGGGAGGCTTTGCTGTTCTGTCACCAAAACGCAGCTCAGGAGACAGGAAAAACCTTCTTTCTGCTGACTGCAGTGTGGGGTTCCCATCTCCCCCAGCCCTCCGTGGGTGTGGGTTCTGAGTGGCCAAAGCGAAGCCGGTGGTGGGTGCGTGGCCGCTGCTGCCTGCCTGGCGTGGGCTTTTGGCCAGGGCCGGTGCTCACCACGGCCACCACGCAGTTAACGTGGTGGTGGTTCCCCCACACAGACTTGTTTGGAGCTGGTTGGGTAAGAAATGGAACGAGTTCGGTGGTTTATGCCGGGGCCATTGCTCACGTCTGATGTGACAAAGTGACCAGGCCACGGTGCCTCGGAACGCGCCCTGGCCAGGCAGCCCACACACAGCTGCTATTTCTGCCCCCACCTCCCTCGGGGCCTGGGGCGGGGGGGGCTGGTCCTCGCCACCAGCCCGGGGAGGATGGAGTGGTGCTGGGCTGGGGTGCAGGACCAGCCTGGAGGTTCAGCTGCAGCCTCGGGGGTTTGAGGGCTGGGTGCCCTGCTGCACCTCGGGTCTCATCCGGGCTGTGGACTGGTCACCAGCTGCTCGAGTGGGGTGGCTGTAGCCCAGGTGGGTGCACTCTGGATGGGTCCCCAGAGCAGGTCTGGCCCCTTCAGCTTACGATGTCCTGGCTCAGGGTCTGCATGTGTGCAGGGAGCAGCATCCCAGGTCCCCCCAGCCAGGGGCAGCATCTGGCTGAGCGTCCGAGCTCGCTCTTGCCCTGATGCCCAGCACCTGGTTCCTCAGAGCCCACGGGAAGGTCGCAGTGGGACACTTGGCTGCAACCAGGTGCTTGCTTCAGCACCAGGGACCTTCTTGACCCTTCGTTCCCCTCTGCCTTGGCCCTTCGGTTCTCCAAGGCCGCATCCGTTGCCCAGGTGCCGGCACCTGCCGGAG